CTGGATAGTGGAGTACGGGAGCGGCGTGATGGGCTCTGGTGCTGTTTGTGAGTGGTTGGGGTGGGCTTTTGTGTTGGGCTGGGTGTGGGGATGGTTTGGGTGGTGTTCGTAGTAGTCACTTGGGTGGAGTCGGGGGTTGGGTGAGAAGCGGGTGTTGGGTGTGATGGTGTGGTGTAATTGTAAGGTGCTGCCGGACCAGTGATGTTTGTAGGGTTGGGGTTGTGTGTTGGCTCAAGGGCCCGAATTGCCCCCGACAGCTGGGGGAAGATCGTAGAGCCCCAGAACTGCAGCCATGACCCCACGGGGTAGGCGGTTCGTCAAACAGCAGCTGCCAAATGGAGATGGCAACGATTTTGACACTGGCTTGCACAAGCTTCCTGGCCCCACGCCACTGTTGCAGATGAATGCTGGCAGATGTACGATAATCGTGATCTTCCTGCGCTGCTGGCATCTCGGCGGCACGGTGGATCCCCATCCAATGGTCGATGAGCCTTTGCAGAAGGCCCGTCACATTTTCCTCAACCCGGACAATCCTCTGGAACGGCTGAAGTACGTCGGTACGGAGCTCACGTCCATGGGGCGCTACCAGCAAGACACCAGGGCCCGATTCCTGGACGCCATTACGGTGCTACACGGCAGTGCGAGTGGCAATGCAGAGGAGCTGGCGAAAAGTCTGATGCGAGACCTCATTGCACTTGGACTGCAATCCATCGTGAGAATGTTGGATGACTTCGTCCAGAAGACTGTCATCTTCGTGGTGTCCACGTGCGGGCTGGGCGCATATCCGGCCAGCTGCAAGCAGACCCGGCTGAAACTCCAGTCTCCAGATCTGCCATGGCTTGGGCTAGCAGCGTTTTCGGCGTGGGCGACTCCACTTACTACCAGTTCTGCGTGGCCGCTGCCGGCTTCTGCATCACCATGCGGCTTGGCAAAGCCACCATTAGCGATGTTGACATCATCACACCCGGTGCCAACAGACTCGCGCTACAACATGCTGACAGGTGATGGTAAGTACGACCGTGACATGCGGCATTATGAGTTCAAGATTGAGGGCACTAACGTTGCTCACAAGACAGGCGAGCGCCTTAAAGACAAGGCCCTGGTGTTCTTCTCGAAGGGTTTGCTGGCCGCTTCGCTTTCATTCGACTCAGGCCTCACACGTGCTGGTGCGTATATACGCAGTCACTGTATGCAGCGGCATGTCTGAGAGGGCACAGTGATGTTTAATTTTCCATTGTGAGGGACCTACCCTGTAGTTGGTTTTCCCGGTTCCCTGGAGGAATAGGCTCAGGGTAAAAGTGTGAACTCGTTTTTGGGTTGTCGTTGAGGATTTCCTGCACCTGTACATTGCACTTCAGCTGGTGCGTTTCCCATTTGGCTCCGATGCTAGTTGAAGTTTTGTCTAGTGGGTTAAATGGCTGTTGAGGGGACGGTTTTTCTTGTTGAGCCGGTTAAATCCCCTCTGCCATTCCCACATGCTGAGTGCATACTGGGCTACTCCTTGTTTGTGTTGTTTCATCCTGCGAGGCCCAGATTTCTGCTCCAGCCAGCAAATTTAATTAGGTGCATGCCTGGAATTCGTTTGTGCTAGGAGCGCGTCCCCCGGACTCTAAGCTCTCGGAAGAAGGGGTTGTGTGTCACTGGGGGGTTGTTTGCTTGCTGATTTGCTGTTCCCGGGTGTACGGAAGGTGGCTGTACGCCTTGCTGGGCAGGAGCTGGGGAAGACTGCAAAGGCGGTGGGGGTGGGGCTGCAAAGGATGTTGTGGGCACTGTGGGTGCCGGGCCAGTGACTTGCGTAGGGTTGGGGCTGTGTGTCACTGGGGGCTGGTTTGCTTGCTGATTTGCCGTTCCCGGGTATA